TACTTCAGATTTAATTGCAAAACAAAGAGAGCTTTCTAATAGTTGACTATTCTTCTTCTTTGTTCTCCTAAAGAAGAATAGTCAACTATTCGAAAGTACTATTTGTTTTGCAATTAAATCTGAAGTAAATACGTAGTTGCAAAAACTTACCCTAGGTGCAAGTGCATAAAACTTCTCATAAAAGAAAAATGACCAATTCTAAATCTAAATCATTTCTTAATTAAACTATTTTGCTGTTATATCACCGAATTTATTAAAAAAAAATAATAAAAAAAACCTTTCTAATAAAACAACATGTATATTAAGCATTCAACATAAACAACACAGTTGGCCTAACAAAAATCCTAGTTGGTAGTTTTGTTGCTAAGCAATGATTTAAATTGTAGACCATCACCATAAAAGGAGCATGACATGAAGACAGAAATTGCTTATTATATACAGTAATAAAACTTGTGTATCTTTTTACCATAACCAATTATACCACTATATATATTTTGAATAAATACAACAGCACAGAACTGAGATTTTTGTACGAATGAAAGCAACAACAACACCTATTTATAAAACTCAACTGCCAGGAAATGACATCCATATAGGGGTAGGAAAGAAGATCATACCATCTTCACCTCAATTTCAGCCAACCAGAGAGAGAAATCCCATCAATGATCTGTGAACAGGGTACATGTGAGCAGAATTAAGTACATAAACATCCCCATCAAATCAAACTGACTAGAACCACCCCAAATGCAGTAACATCCTCGGCATAAAGACATCGAGGGGTATTGCAAGAGGAAGAAGTGGAGCAACAACCAAGTTCACCCACTGTGACCTACAACATAGGTAAGCACACTTGAGACGAACTGAGTGAGGGAGTAGGAACACTCTGTGAGGAAATATTGGAGAAAAAGAGCTGACCATATGTCGCTATCAAATGTGGATGGTAAACAAATGGTATACAACAGTGTTTCACCCCAGAAGAACCCAAAAGCAAAGAAGTCACATGTGGAAGGAAAGAACTAAAGATGGTAACACCCCAACATGTAGGGAAGGAAGAGGAAGTACCCCATTAAAATACCCTAGATACAAGTGGAACACCTAAGAATGGAGGTGTAAGGTAGACATGTTCAGTATGAGAGTTGATAGGGTAAGACGAAGCTGTAAAACTAGGTGGAAGATAAAACGGATAGGATGAACAGAGACTTCCCCACATACAGGCAATAGATCTGAAGTACATAGAATCAAAAAGAAAATCTGCCTGATGGTAAGTTAAAGAAAATGACCCAAATCCTGTGTAAGGCAAGGCATACAAGTTCCCTTGCCCAAAAAAGACAAAAATGTTCATCATGAAACAATGTCTGGAGAAGTAGGAGAAAATTATACTGTGATACATGTAAAAAAAAGGCTGAGGTAGGCCTAGTATATTCTGCAGTGGATCCCTGGGAAGGCAAGTTATAATGAGGTGGAGGAAACGGACAAAATCTAAGTCATCCTAAATGGGTTTGACAGTTGTAGGAGAAAAGCAAGCAATATCAGAAGAAGGTAGGGCAGACTCTGGCCCCAGGAATATAAATTATAGGAGTATAAAAAGTATAAATTATAAAGAATTACGAAAAAACAAAGGTCAATATAATGTAAATTTAAGGAAGTGTGTAGTGAAATAAACATATGTATTATATGTTATGTGTTGAAGAAAAACAAGATACTAAACTTAATTATAAATTTATCAGTAAGATGAACTACAGGTAAACTGAAAATAACAAATTTGTTAAGCCTAGTTGAACTTAGTAGGACAAAGTATATCACTAAGTTCAAATAAAAAAAACCCTAACCTAACAATAACTTTGCACAATATCCGTAGAAATTTGTACGGACCCTGTCTCGAGGGGTCCACACAAGCAAAGTTAATATGAAGAAGTATAAAAGATAAATAATAACAAAAATGAAATGTAAAAAATAATAAAAATGTAATATAAATAATATTGAAAATGAAATAGACATTATATCATAAAATTAAGTAAGAGTGTATTGACAATAACATATGTATGAGATATGATGCATTGAAAAAACAATATAGTCAACCCAATCCATGACACACCAGCAAGATGAACTACAAGTAATCCCAAAATAATAAAGACTCATGTTAAGCCCAATCTAATATTATAGGACAAAGTATACCACTAAGCTCCAACTTCTAACCTGAACTTGACTATGAGTATTGACCAATCTAACTAAGGTCAGCTCATTGGAAGATGAATCTCCCAGTGAAGTAAAGCTGAAAATACCCCATGGAGGATCACCACTTGAAGCCCGTCTGATAAAAGATATAACCCCCAAAGTGGTAACTTAGAATTTGGAATTGCATAATTGAAAATGAATAACCAAATACATCCGTGTTGGCAGAAAGAAAAAGTATTAAGATCAGTAACTGGGTAGAAATATAAAATAATTCCACTTTGGAGTAAGTTACAAATATCACTATTGTATAATAAATAGTAAACTTGTTGAGAGAAATTTATAGGAAAAAAAAACACTTGAAGAGAGCACAAACATCTGAACACGAGCACTGCCAAACAAAAAATAATAGTTAGGTAGAATAGCATTGAGGGAGTCACATGAGTCATGTGTGTGGGGGGCATGTCTATTGGTGGAGGTTTGTTGCATGATGATTTATATGCATAAATCAGTTAAACCACGTGAACTGAGGGGGTACATAGGAGTGAAAGGCTTGTGCAAATAGAGGGCAGCAATGAACGAGAATAGCTATGTATGTGAGAAGAAGTAAGGTACCTTGTCAGAACTACATTTTCAAACATATATTTCTATTTATTGGAATGGTAAAAGAATTGTTCATGCATTTGTTCATACAAAAATGCCAAGGAATAGATTTATTTTAATCTTAACTTATTGTTAACACTTTCTTGATGGGCATCCTTTACTGCACATGACACAAGGTTTTAGTGTCTTACATTCAAAATTTTATTAAACTACTTTTTGTTCATGTTCTACCAATTAATATGGCATAAACACTTAGCTAATAATCCATTATTTAATAGTATATAAGTATTTAAGATCTTAATTCTATAAAGAAATAAAAAAAAATCCTGAACTTCCCCTAGTGTTACATATGTAGCACATTTTCTCAAGGTATCTTCTCTTCTCTGTTTTATTCACCACCCCCTTCAAAATGTATGAAATTAAACATAAACTGCTCCCTATAATATCATCACTGCTCAGAGAAACCATAATTTTTATAGCCTTCTATTTTGTTTGGTTACAGAGCTATGATATAATAAATCACACCCCTCCTGCCACACCTACATGTCACATCCTATCTTTCAGGCTTTGTTAATAGTTCTCTCTTACATTTAATTACATATTACCTATAACCATTAGAAAGCCAAAGTTTTCATCTATCAAATGACATATTGCATAATATTATGTTCTGAGCAGATAAGTGTCAATTCTACTCAAGAGTACAAGATTCATTCCTGTGGGAAAGTTAGCAACTAGCTTGGATGAATTTGTAGCAGTTCTTGTTGCATAGTTAGAAAACTAGAAAATTTTTAAGAGTTAGGGGAAATTGTCTACTTTGTGAATGTTATTAGTCTATGTTCTTTTGTGCATTGTTTAATAAAATCAAAATTATTTAGTGCATTACTACCATTAATATAAAAAACTAGGGTTAAGTTTCATCGATAATCAACAGTAAGAAAAAAGAAGACGGGGTAAGTACTTTATTTCTGGTTTTTCATGTTTATTCTTTATTTATTATTATAAAAGTAACTAAAATAGATCTTTTTAGGTTAGTTAAGATTAGACTAGGTAAAATAAATAATAATATAATAAAAATGTTTCATGAGGCATGCATGCATGCAAACAGCTAGTGGGTAAGGTAAATCAATAGCATAAAGTGAGCTCCACATTCCCCAAGTGATTTACAACTTATAATGGTGCAAGTAGTAGTTAGACATAGCTCAAAGTGCAATAAAACAATAAAATTGAATTATAAGTAGATGTATATAGTTATGAGTTTGAAGCTACTTAGGAAAAATGAATGTAGTTTAATGCTACATTTGAAGTCATTATAGAAATAAAAAAGGGTAATTCAGATTTATTTAGATTTTGTTTTGGTGGTTATGAGGTTGGTCAAATTGAATGATCTCGTTTAGAAATAGGGTAGAGAAAATAACATATGAAGTTTTAAGTTTTACTGAAAACAAATGTTTGAAATGTATTTAGGAGGTTTTAGTGATTACAGAATAGAAATTTGAGATTATTGAGTTGAAGAAAATTATTTTTAATCTTAACATGAAAATCACTTTGTACACAGACTATTCAAAACAAGTACTCAATATATTCATGGACAAATCTTTATTTTAGTTTATTAAAAATACTTCACTAAAAAAATATGATTTTTTGTATGTGAAAGACTGCCAAATTTCATGAAGATATACACACTATATTGGATGTTAAAAGTATTAAATCTATAAAGACTTCAAATGAGTACAAAGAGGTCACATGGTTGGTCAAATTGACACAGCCCGTGTTGAGAGAGTTACTAAGGCACAAGGTCAGTTATATTTTCTTCTCTTAAAAAATGCATCTTGTGTAACAAACAGCAATGCAAGAGTAGCAACTTTAAAAATTTTGTGTTAGATATGGCATAAACGATTTAAGCAATTAGTTATTTTCAAATGAAACCCTATAATAAGCCTTCACTAGCAGTGTATCAATTCAATATTTTTATAAATGATTATTTGCACAGTAGTATATAAATATTAAGTAATTAAGAATAAGCTCGAATACCTTTTTATTTAACTGCTGATGTTCACACACATTTTTAACTATTTATTTTAGATTATTTGAAAATTACTATTTCTTAGAAAAGTCTGTAATGCCCTTAATACTCATTACCATAAATGAATATATATCTCCTAAATTATAACCAAAATTACTTTAATTAAACCTTTTATAGCCTAAAATCACTCACCAGCAAAACTTCCCGATATGACTGTGGCTATAACTGGAGTCTTGAATCGGTCATGGACAGTAGCCAGCTGTTGAAAAATAAGCCCATCAGTGGCCATTGCATACAGTATTCTTGGAAGAGGAAACATTGCACCTAAAAGACTAAAAAAATTTACATGTCATCATGAAAAATAAAAGAAATTATGAAGTTTCAAGCACCTACTATATAAAGTGAGGTACAGGAGACTTTTTTCTTTCCTATCATCATACATTAAAATACATAAAGACATAATACAATCTTCATTTCCGACTTCCTTAAAAACATTTTTTTTTTTTTATAATTGTACAATGTAGATTCTGACCCCTTCCCTCCAAAATCCACTATTGTACATGAAGAGCTATCAAAAACATCAAAGTGAGATTACAAAATATAAACCAAGATTAAAAACTTAAGTCTGAACATAAATTTTAAAACTAATTTTTCTTCTTGTCAAAATCTGAACATACTAGTGGCAATATAATTATGAACTAGATAATGCACCAAATTACTTCAGGAAATATTAAGTCATTACAGTAAAAATTCATAGTGGCTGTTCTCTATAAAATAAAGTTACTTTTAATACCAGTTATTTTTGAAATTTCCTGAAGAAATTAAAATTATAACTAGGCACCTTTCCAACCTTCACGTCTGCAGATTTGAATCTCTCCTGATCTCAATTTACATGAACTTCAAAATATTTTCTAAGTTTAGAGAACAGAATACCTTGCCGACAAACCAGCCAAAGCACCAACAGAAATAATCCACTTGGCTATATGCCACTCAACCATTTCAAACACATAAGGAAGAGGAGCTGCTCGATTCTGGTCCCAATATGGCCACATCAGAGTTTGCACACTTGATACTCCAAAATATGATAGAAATGTCACCAACAGAGACAAGATGATACTGAAGGGAATTGCTTTTTGAGGGTTATAAACCTCCTCACCTAACACAAATATAGTAAAAAAAACAGACACAAAGTTGTCTTATTTCAAACTTTTCAATACATGATAATTAACACTCACTAAAATTCTTAAAAAGTATACAAATAATTTCTATTTTACATTCCATTATCTAAATCTACAATTACACATACAATTAAAGGGTTGCTCTATAACCTTTACAGGTATGAGCAACATTACTTGTGTTATACTATTCTCAGATTAACTGATTTATACACAAGTATTGCACAGATACAAAATAATCAGAGTTAAACTGAATTTAACTAAATGAATGAGATAATAAACAGACTCAACATGTTATATAAAGTGGGCAACAATCTTTATTTATAATGCAGAGCAAAGAAACATTGTTCTTATTTGCACAAAATACTGGAAAATCACCTTCCAGCTGGTCCTGTGAATTATTCAATTATGACAATCTATCAAAATGTATATCCATTGAACTATTAGTGTAGGTTTGTTTCAGCACAAAGCTACTCAATCAGCTATCTGCATTCTGTCAATTGCAGGGAATTTAACAACAGATTCTAGCAATGCACGTCTGTAAATTTACCATTGACCCACTATAGGGACTGAACTATTCATGTATAACCAACAGAACTGTGTGTAATCTATTCTGAGAAAAAAATAACCAATAGACTGTTACACCTAACTGCCATTCTCTTACCACATAAAACGGTTGTAACCTCTCTAGATATAAAGGACAGTGCTATCATTCGACTATCCTATACAATATGTGAAGTTTCAACAATATTCCTAGATAACAACAAAAACACAAAGGTAACTATACCAATATAACAGTTTTCTGGATCATGTGTTTATGCCAACAATGCATAGATTCAGAATAAACAAAAATTTTCAAAAGTCCTACATAAATAAAACAGATAGAAAACATAAATATCAGCATATCATATTTGCCCTTCCTACTCTGTTTCAACTTGCCCTCAAGCTGACAATTAAAACTTAATTTTAAAACCAATTGACTATATATTCACAACTAGGTCAAGTTTGTTTGTTGTTAAGCACAAAGCTACACAATGGGCTATCTGTGCTCTGCTCACCATGGGTATCAAAACCCAGTTTCTAGCATTGTAAGTACAGATATACTGGTGTGCCACTGGAGTGCAACAAGGTCAAGAAGCATGTTAACTTGCCTTTGTTTCCAAATGATTATGCACCATATGGATGACACAACCCTTAACCCTCTGGATAAAAGTGGATCAAAGTGTACACGTTGACCATGTTTACAGTTATATTTAAAACTTAATCAAACTACTTTATTATCAATGTATGTCAATAAACTTGCCATCGAAACATAGTCTATAATTTAACTTTTTATATTACCTAAGTTTCAATTTCAAAAGAAGATATTTAAATAAATTATCAATCCGAATCTCTTGTTGGCACTGTGACGTATCACTGACTAGGGGGCTTCAAATTTCTCAATCAATTAGAAACACATGCTATAGATAATGACAAGCTAGAATATAAAATCTCAACTATTTATCTTCTTGTTTTATTGAGGTATTACTACATTGGTTTCACCCACACTGACATTCCTTTCATACCCTCTGTATTATAAGAAATGTCTGTAGCTTTCTTTGACATTCTGTTGGTTATAAACATGTCCAATAGCAGGATAAAAAACCAAGTTATGTAAATCAGCCACTAGTTTAGTTTTAATGGAAAAACTGTTTTCTGCATTGCAGCCCTCCTAGTGGGAATAGAAAGATTGGTCAAAAGATGTTTGGCAAAAAGAAGACAGTACTTCCAATCGGGTAGGAATGGCAGATAGTCTATTCTGAAAGAGCACAGCCCACTGAGGAAGAAAGACATAATCCCAGGTGGGATGCTGTGGTAAGGATCAAAGCTTGGTAGCATACTGCAGAGAAAATTGCAAATGGCAGAGGTGAAAAGGGGTTCATGGGAGTCAGTGTACAAACTCTGGACTGGCAAAGTGTGAAAAGCCCCTGTGCAGGGCCAAAGACACAGATTGTGAATGAGGTCCAGCATTTTCAAGGCTGAGATCCTGGCAGGCCATAGACCAGAGACCGATAGTCCAATTTGGATCAAATGATGGCATGAGAGATCTTGAGCATAGAACATCAACCCACTCCCTAAGAGGTGGAACAGAGGACACAAAGGATGTTCAGTATGCTTGTACACTTGACAAGTAGGTGCTTTATGTGAGAAATGAAAGTAAGCTTATGGTTAAAGATAATCCGCAAGAAACTTTGCCTCAGAAACCATGAGAAGAACAACATCACTTAGACAGAGCTTGGGATTGGGGTGTAGACCACGTTGGTGGCAAAAATGCATGCAAATGGTTTTGGAAAAAGAAAAGGTAAAAACGTTTACTGAAGTCCACTTTAACAAGCGATTGAGGGAAGTCTGAAGCTGCTGCTCAATAAAAATCATGGTCGATGATGACATGAGATGTGGATGTCATCGACAGAGTCCATTTGCAACAGTAGGAGGAAGTTGTGTACTGATAGCATTGATCTAAATACTGAAAAGTGTGACACTCAAGACACAGCCCTGAGGGACTCCAAGTTCCTGTGTGTAAAGGACAGGAAAGTGTCAAGCCCACACAGACTTGGAATCACCTGTCAAGTAAAAAGTTCTTAATAAAAATGGATAGATGGCCATGCAACCCATATCAGTGAAGGTCCCACAAAATGTTGTACCTCCACGTAGTGTCAGAAGCCTTCTCAAGAAAAAAAACATAACAGAAACAAAATGTTCCTTCTTGAGAAAGGCTTCCCTGATCGAGGTCTCAAGTCAAATCAGGTGGTCCACGGTGAAGTGCTGTTGATGGAACCCACACTGGGTGGGTGAGAGTAGGTTGTTTGATAAAAGAACCAATCAAGACAAGTATTAACCATCCTCTCCAAGACCTTACAGAGACAGTTAGTCAAAGCAATTGGGCAATAATTAGATGGAATCTTGTGATCCTTTCCAGGTTTAGAAAAAGGGAGGACAATATCCTGGTACTAAACATCAGGAAAAATGTTCTCCTGCCATATACAGTTAAAAACAACCAGAAGAAGAGTAAGAGAAGCAGGAGAGAGATGGTGCAGCATCTCCAACCGATGTACTGTTAGACTGATGAAGAGCAATTTCAAGTTCCACTAGTGTAAGGGGGTGATTACAGTCATAGAGACTATCTGCCCGAAAGGAAATAGGCGACTGCTCTGCTTGAGACTTGATGGCCAAGAAGGCAGGGGAAAAAACAGAAGTGCTGGATGCACAAGAAAAGACCTTGCTGAGAGTATCAGCAATGACCTGTACATCAGCAACTTCCTGGCCACTGGAGAGCAAGATGGAAAGGAGATAGGAAGCATACCTTTCATTAAGTTTCCAAATCTCGTCCCATATGACTTTGGAACTGGTGGTAGAAGGGATGCTAGTTGTGAACTTAATCAAAGATCCCTTTTGGCTTTGATGTCTGACCTACTGAGCATGGGTCCGCTGGAAAGCAATGTGGTTAGAAAGAGTGGGGTATCTGTAAAAGGTATCCCAGGCCCGTTTCTGAGCCTTTTATGTCTGCTGGCAGGTTGGAGACCACCATGGACAAGAATACCATGGGAAACGTGTCAAGGTTTTAGGTATATAACGAACAGCTGCATGAATGATACAATCAGTTACTGTCTCTATGCAGTCATTAATAGATGGAAGATTGACGAAAGTGGGATCAAGTTCTGAGAGGGAGGTGAAAGAGAGCCAGTTGGCCTGGTTCAACTTCCACCGTGGCACTTGGGTCAGGTGGCATTAGACACAACCACCTTCAAACAACTGGTTAAACATGATGAATGATATTTTAACATGCAGGAATTTGTGGATTTGAGAAGTGGATATCTTCTCTTAATTTTGTTTCTTTGGATAAGATACTTTCAAAAAGATGTCACATTTAATAAATTGTGTACCTATACTGTTGAGCAAATCCTACTTTTTCAGGTACCCCTCTAACCAAGGTATGTTGTAATTTGAAAAACTATATTTATCTGTCTTTTATAATTACATAGTAAAAAACAGTACTAATGTGTGGCATTGCAATCTGAAAAGTTTGTGTGTGTTCATATACATACACACACTATGTCAGCAATTTAATAACAGATGTAAGAATTCAATACTCCTTTCAGTTGTGGGTTTATAGTATATATAAATATTTGATTACAATATTTAACAGTAAACTTAAAATGCACCAGTGATCAAGAATGGGAAGAAAAAACAGACTAATTCATAAATCACAAAAATGAGTCCTGTAGAGTTAGTAAACAAGTAATTTCATTTCAACTTTTTACATCAATTAGTTGAAGCTCAACTACAATTTTTAATCAAAATATAAGTAAAATATTTTATTGATGGAAATTTATAGAACAGCATTACACTTATTATGAAAAGAAAGTACAAGAAGTTCTACATCTTACAAATATAGAATATTCAATACAAAAGATTTAACATAATTTGAAATGAGAGAAAATATTCTCAATATTTGAAATTATTGAATCAAATCCAATGGAATTTTATTGTAAAAATGAGTGCTCATATTTTTAGTTATCTTTTTACTCAAAGCAGTTCACATTGAAGCAGAGATTAACTGCATAGTAAAACACTTACAAACACAAACTTAAACCTTGTATCACAGCCTTACCTGTTGTTGCAATAATATCAAAACCTACAAAAGCATAGAAACATGTAGCAGCTCCTCGCATCATTCCTGAGAATCCATAAGGAAAAAATCCCCCATCACCATAGTTGTAGCTTTTATTAGTAGAAGGTATCTACATATTGAAAATGAACATAATTAGCATATCTAAATTAATTTTACTTGAACTTTCTAAGTTTAGATACCTACATTTTAATTTTGAAAATTACATTTGAAAAAAAAATTAAATTTTTACTTGAACAAAAAATTTATTTCATAGTTAACCAGAAAATTATGTTTTATATAACCAATCAGATTCAACTTTGTTGACATTCATTAACATATTTCTTTTAATACTTTATTTTACCATATGCAGCACCAACACTTCTAGCTATAAATCATAATAAAGATTGTAAAAACTGGTTTGGTTGTTTGAAGTTAAGCACAAAGCTACAAAATGGGCTATCTGTGCTCTGCTCACCACAGGTATCAAAACCATGTTTCTAGCATTGCAAGTCCACAGACATACCGCTGTGCCACTGGAAGGTCGGTAAAAACTGAAAAAAACTTACTGTCACCTATGAACTGATCTTTCAGAATGACATCAGCATTACCCTTTTCAGGCTAAATAACTAGTTTTGATCAACATCAATTTATATCTAATACAATAAATAATATATTATTTTAGTTACTTATGTTGTTTGAATATAATAAACTTAACAATAATATTCAATACACAAGAATTTGAGTCACTGGAATATTTTTCCATGGCTTACTGTACTTGCTAAACCTAACTAAGCATATCTGATGTTGTGTCATACAAAAGTTTCCATAACTTTCAAGCTAATAAAACCAGTAATGAAAAAGAACATCTAAAGAAACTGTAAAAACATTCTCAGGTCTATGGTTTGATCTTAAGTTTACTGATCTTCCTTCTATGTTTCATTGATCATCTTTACGTGAGATTGGTATAGTCCCATGAAACCATAAATTAATGCTCAAAGCATTTTATTCATTTTACAATGACATAAATAGCTTATAATCTGCTTTAACAAATGGTAATTCAATTTTACTTGTGGCTACTTTCAAAGCTGTTCTTCATAAGTGATTATTTAGATCGCTTGCTGTGACATCATAAAATGGTGGGAATGAAGAGTTCTAATAATAATAATTCAAACTTGGAAGGAAAATCATGAGAAACAAAACATGGCTACTTATATTCTCACGGAAAGATAAAATTTTTAGCAAATATAAACCTATATTTTGGGATGGGTAAAAAAATTCTTAAAAATTAGTAATTTGTTGTATATAAGCAAGACTTTTTGGAGCTGTACAAAAGTAAAACTTGGAACATTTTTGCAGTTTTCTTTATGAATGAACTATTCTAAGTTAATGTTATAAAATGACAAAATATTAATTTTAAAATGTGTTTGTATTGAAAATTGTTGAAACAGAGTTAGAATTATTATTTTCATTTAAATATTGAAAGATGCTTACTGGTTGTAATGAGAGTAATTGTGAAGTGTTCGGATTTTCTTTTTTAACAATCTACAATCAACTGCGGAGTACAGTTTTATAACTAATTAGCGGTTTTTAATTGCAATTATCACTGTTTCTACCCTTCCACCTGAGGCAAGTTTCAAATTTCTTACCTCAGATTTTGATAATTGCCAGTTATGGATATCAGCTTTGAATGATCCAGCAATAACAGCAAACAGCACAATACACAAATTCAACACCACAAAAATATTGTTGAAGCGAGATGATTCCTTCACACCGATGACTAACATCACTGATAAGTTACACAGGAAAAATACATTAGAATGGCAACAATTCATTAGATAACTTGACATTTTCCTTACATGAAAATATATTTCCTATAGATACTTATCTCTCTTCACACAGTAGTTATTCCTTGCACATCTGCCTTTGAGATTTTGCACTTGCCATTATCCTTGAACTGTCTTCCACCTAAGATATGTGTTTTTGATGCGAACTGCATTAGTATATGATGCAATTATCATCCAACAAAACAGTGACCAATAATCCTTGTGCATTAGATCTGCATGAGCACTCACTCTCAAAATTAGTTTCCTTCTTAGATGTAGCAAAACTAATGTGCACTGATAGTGGGGAAGAAGAGTAGGAAGGTGTGCAGAGAAGTATCTATCAGAAATGCAGCATCAGGTAAAGAAAACATTAATTTCCAGAACTGACTAACCTCTCTGCAAACAGTAGCTATAAACCTAAACTGATGTGGTGGAGGGGCCAGTACAATTGTGAAAACCTAGATGAGCTCCCTTCTGAGAAAACAACAGAAAGAGAAAGACCATGGAACATGACACCATATAATGGGGGTTTACTTGAGGGGCAACGCTCGGGGGTACAACATATCCATCTCATGCAGGGTATACTCTTTGCCAAGATGGATGTAGGAAACGAGAAAGGCAAAATGAGCCCATGTGCCACAGGAATGGATGAAAAATACATGGATAACCGAGCTTTTGCACACAACAGGTTGGATGGACAATAAGAGTAGTGTAGCTTGGGCAAAAATCAAACTGTACAGTTTTGGTACAATTTAATCACCAAAGGAACACAGCCCCAGCCAGGTGGTCAAAACTACAGGGATATTGGCATACTATATAATAAGGGGTGACCTGCACTACACTTACATGAACACTCTTGCCCTAATTTTCACCACATTGTGCTGATCTCTGAAACTCTCTCTGTATCATACAACTAGTGAGAAACTCTCCAAGTTGACAACCCCCAGTGATTGTGAATGGCAAGGGTCTCCCCTTGGTGGTGGGGGGTGGAGGTGTGGTTTGAATTGGGAAGACACCAAAGAGGTGCCCAGACCTGAATGAACCTAACCACCACAAAGGACTTTTACTAGAGAAAATTCAAGGGATTACTGTGAAACCTAATCTGAAAACCCTGCAGGAGTGAGCCATGGAAGTGGGCAGTCATTGGGCTGGCTTTTTCCTATGAAAGTCCCAGGAAAGTAAGTACAGTCTAGAATGATAAAATGACAATATATATATATATATATATATCCATAATGAAATAAATAGCTTCAATAATATTAATTACATTAACTGTTAATAGGTGACTAAAATCAGCACAATAAAACAATAATGAACCTAATATAAAATATTCATTAAAAAATTTTTAGTAGTCTTAGTTGTCACCTTAAAGTTATAGCAGATAACGCCTATGGTAACAGCTCCTAAATGTTTTGGGAATATCCCATCTATCAGACATCATCCAAAAGCTGATGTTAAACTAGCCAGCAAACATGGAAGATTAATTAAAGGTAAGGAGTTGAGTGCTTACACTCACAATATCTCAACTCCTACTGCCTTTCAATGTCTGCAGGCATTTGTGGGAAGGCACTTACCCTTAAAAGTTATTATAATACCTAAAGTAGAAATGAAACCACCCTAGCATTTCTATTATATGAAACTCCCAGCCTCTGCCCCCTTACAAAAGAAATAAAATAAAATAATCTTGAATAGAACTACAAATGTTAATATTTCTTACATAGTTCATATTCCCAAACTCCTCCCTTTCTCTTGTAAATTTATTCAAGTATAACACAGGAAAGCCGAGATGAGCCCAGCTGCTTGAAGTTAGTCTTTCTGTTCCAGTATACTGAATAAAATTATAATTTTCAATTTAGCTAATGACCTCTAGTGACACAAAAGGTATTTTCCGTATCAAAAGTTTATTTTTTTAAATATTTTATATCTATTATAAAACAGTGTAATAATTTTTTTTAATTGCTAGAATTTGTAACCATTAATGTTTAATTTACTTATAAATAATATAACATTATCCTTAAAACCATTATCATTATTACAAACTATTAAAATAATGATGCCTTTTAACATCATATGTGGAATAACACAAAGATGGGAAAATCAAATTCCTACCTTTTATCAAAAATAGTCAGCTTTGCTTTGCCTTCTACTAAATTAATTTTAAAGTGTAAATAGCTAGCATGAACATCATTACTATTGCTTTTTTCTGTTGCAAGTTCTTTTGGATATATCAAGTTTGGTGTAAAATTCAAGTTATTTATGGAGATTAAATCATTTATATAACAAAAAGTATACAAGTTAGGATTTGAAACCTGTTTCAGAAATGAGTTTCCATAAAAGAACAAATACAAATTGACTATATTTGAAGAAGTTCACTCCTATTGGAATACCCACTGTTTGTTTATATACTTAAATGAAGTATATTTTTACACTGAATTTTAGTAAACTGAAGTTTTGGAATATTTATTTTTGTACTTACAAAATTATTAAACAAGTCACTGAATACTGTTTTAGTATACAGTGTAATAAAATCATGCACAGAAACAAAGTTGGCTGTATCTGAAACATTTCAATTATTTAAACGTTCCCAAACTGAAATGTTGGTTTAATAATCCAAAAATAATTATTTGGATTATTTGAAAATAGTGTTTTAATTTTTTCACACACAACATCCAGAATACTATTAAGAACAATAAAGACATATTTAGTAACTTTATTTAAAGAATTAGTTCTAAATCTGAACTTAATGAGATTCTTATGCAATTGTGGAATTTCACAGAAAAATGGCAATATAGAAGAAGAAGAATCTGTATGTATATTCCATTTCTTAATGGATTACTTTACATTAGTAATAATAGTATTTTTTTTTAAAGTACTTTTGTAAATGTACTTTTAATATTAATTTCTTTAGTTAAAATTTGTTCATATAATTTTTTACATTTTAAGCCAAAATTACATCCTGCTTTAACAATCAGGGTAATAATAAACTGTTCTTGAACTTTTTTTATTTTATTTTTGAAGACACTGAAAGAAATATCTATTTTATATTGAGATAGATTTAAAGTTCTTAATCCATTTTTTATGGAATTGATAAATATAATTTCCATTCAAAAAAGAAACATGGAGGATAGTAAGATTTTTTACTTACTTTGATAATATAATTATTAATACATTTTTCCAAATCTTTTAAAATTTCAAACTTTTAGTCTTTTTTAAAATTCTGAATTTAATGCCTTTCCCCAATATTGATTGTAATTCCTTGTTCTTGATAACCTCTAAATTACCTGTAACAATACGACTGTGAAATGGGTCTTTAAAATCATTATTGTTACAGTAACGAGGTAATTTATCAACTTCTTTGGATTGAATTCTTCAATGAATTCTTTATTGTTGAAGATAAGATGCCTTATAGGTTTATTATATTTAAAACTAATTATAGGTTGAACTGATTTAATGGAGAAAATGTTTTCTTGAACACTTCTATGGATTAGGAAAGTTAGAGCTAAATCATCATATAATTTATGTTTAAAACCTATAAATATACAATATTTTTCTTTTCCTTTACTAAAGGATTATTTTTTGGTATTTGATTCCATTTTAATCTAAATTTAATTAAATCTTTGAAATGAATATGTTTAAATTTAAAATTTAACATATATTTTGACAAATATCTAGGTATTGTATCTTTTAATTCAAATAATTGTTTTATTGCAAATTTTAACAGGCCTGTCAAGAGCAGAATCTAGATTTTTACAAAAGTTTTCAAAATCAATCCATTTTTCTTTTTATCTTTATCCCTACGTTTATTTTGTTTATTGCTACAAATATTTATCTGAAACAAGTTTCTAATGCAACTATTTTTACTTAAAGCTTTGGCATTCTTATTTTCAAAATCTCAATTTAATCCATAAAGATAGAGAGTTTAACATCAGCATTTGGATCTTGTCTGGTGGAGAGCATATTCCTAATGCATTTGGGAGATATTATCACAGACATTATCTGCTATAAATATAAGGTCTCATGCAGATTTAGGGAAGCAAGTATACCCAGTGAGGCAACATCAGCCATTGGGTTGGTTCTGAGAAGTGAATGAGATTGATAGTATAAATGGGTAAGGATATAAAAGATGTGTTTATCCATCAAGAATGATGAGTAGATTGAAGTATGGTGGAATCCAGATGGAAATGAATCAAACAGATGGTGGAGATAATGGTAGATGAAGGTGTCACGTGTAGTCTACATTTCAGCCTGGAGAATCTCATCCAAGGATCATCAAAAAGTGAGGTCACAGAGTAAGTCAAGTTGCAGAATTGATGTGATTCAGCCTGTGATGAGCTACCAAATACATCCAGTAAGTGTAGAGAACGAGAGATCCATCGAAGAAGAAGGGTCCCATGGCAAGAATAAACGATTGAGGCAACCACAAAAAGAAGCTATGGATTCCAAGTAACACCTGACCATCCTAGCCGAACACAAAAGATTATCAGGTTCAGTATGAACGTAACAAGCAGAGGTCAACAGACGAGATATGAAAGAAAAGATACTATTTCCCTAGTAAGCAATCCATGTCTTAAGAAGAAACGTGTGATCAGGGGATAAAATCAAGGAAGATCTGTGAAACAAAGGATAGGAGACATCTGATGCATAAAGGTCAGATCTGAAACAACAAAAAGCAAGAAGGAAATAGGTATCAAGAGAGAGAGATGATAAAAGGAGAAAGTGGGCAAGGATTCAAATGGGGTTTTGGTAAGAACATGGAGGACTACATTAACCCGATGACCACTGGCTACTAGCTTTCTTAGTAGCCAATGCAAGTCTTGCTATATCTCATTCCAACAATAAAATTAGTGGATGAAGTTGTTTGAAACTTCATGAGAACTTTCATAAATGTACATAGCTTAAGAAACATAAAGCCTGTTACTTTGGATAAATTTAGTTTTTTTGCATTATGATCTTTAATATCTTG